AGGTGTGCAGTACATGGTGGCTACCAGGAACATCACTCTTCCTTCTCCCAGTCCTCAACTAGACTCTGGGGAGATAACCTGGAGGTGAGCTGGTCCCACCATGCTGCGTCCTGCCTCCAGCTCTCTGCTCATGCAGGTTTCCCTCCTGGTACGTTTCCCTCCCTAGAGCTCGGCTTATGAACGTCCTCTCTTTACTTCAAGGTCCAGCTCAAATTCTCCCTTCCCTCTGAAGCATCCCCTTAATGCCCCAAGTAACCACTCCTCCCCCAAGAACTTCCTGAAGGGGAGATCAGTTCATTTGGCATCTAGCAGGTTATCAACACATTTCCCCTGGATTGTCACTCATCTTTTCGGGAATGTGCCCAACCTCTCACCCCACTGCGATGAGGGTCACCGTCATAGGTCTTTCTCTTTTCAGATGTGCCCTGCCCACAACAGACGCCCACTCATCCTCTCAATGATGATGAGGGCATTCAGGGACACTCCTCTCCCATCTGTGCAGATGGACCCACTGGATAATCCTATCTCAATGAGGGTTTGGGAAGCAGTAAAACACCCAGACCCGGGAGTGGATACACTGCCACTGTCCTTATGGCTGGAGCTGGGGATGTGACCAAGGTCCCTTCTCACTAGGAGACAGCAGAGCGGAAGGAAAGAGTCAGATGGTCCTGGGTCTGAATCTCTGCTCACCACCTACTGACTGGGTGACCTTGGACAAGTCACTTAGCCTCTCTGAACCTTGGTTTCCTTATCTGCAAAATAGGGCTAATTTTACCTCTCAGGGTGGCTGTAAGGATTAAATGAGACAAGAACAACAAAGCACATGGCACAGTGCTTGGCATACAGTGAGAGCTCAGTTAGTGCCAGAGATAGAGCCCCTCCCTCTCTCTAAGTGAAGAATCCATTCTCCACTAAGCTGTAAACACCATAAGGGCAGGGACTCCCTTCCCACGCTCAGGCCCCGTCCCCAGTGCTTAGCACCATGCCTGGCACATAGTCAGTATACAATAAACACTTGTTGGGTGTTTGCATAAAGTCACGCATAAGTGAATTTCAAGTGACCTGGGGATATAGCAGAGGGGCACAGGGTGGTAAGCCAGGTGAGACGCCTACACAGACCCTAGGGCACCCAGTTAACAGAACTAACCAGCCTCCTCTTTGTTGGGCCTCTGCCTTTGGAGGCATGACCGCTGTAACCCAGAAACCGGAGTAGGTCACTTAAACTCCTCCATCTCCTTCCCCCGCCCCCGGGCCCCTCCTGCAACTGCAGTGAAGTTCAAGTGTGTGTGACAGATGTTCTGCAAAGTCAGGGTAGCTGGCCAATCTAAGGCATCACTGGTACCTTGCCCCCACAAAGGAATTCTGGGGAGCCTGAGAGAGGGAACATTGGAAGGAAAGAGGGAGCCTGAGGCTGGACCAGGCAGGAGCTGGAAGGAGCCCTAACTCCAGTCACTAACAAGTCTTAAAACCCTGAGCCTCAGTTTCCTAATCTGTGACAAGAGGAGCTTAAACCCATCTTGCAGCCTGCGTGAGGTCTGCGCAGCAGCTAGCGCGAGCTTCACACACTGCAGCTGATCCATATAATCGTGGCTATTGAGGAAACGAAAGCCCAGCTGTGATATTAGGAAAGGAGCAATCTCAATTGCTTAAGGAGACTTGTGTGGAAGGACCCCGTATCGACCAGGCAGCTCTCCTCTTGCGTCTACCATCTTGCCCAAGGCATTAGAGTTTTAGGGGGGTGATCATCAGTTCCCACTCTAAAAGGGTTCTCCTGCTAAAAAATAGAAGTTTCAGAACCACTGAAGTAAGTGATCTCGGAGGTCGCTTCCAGCTCTAACATTTTCTGCACTTAAAAAGCAAAAACTAGTAAAACGTCTGGGGGAGGGGAAGCCAGTTTGCATCCGGGGAGGGAAGGGGGCGGAGCTTATGGCTGGGGGCGGGGCGGCTGGGGCCCGGGCGGAGCAGCCTGCGCGGGGCTGGGTCCTTAAATCTCCTGCCTGGGGCTGAGAAGGAACCGTGCTGGGTCCAGGCGTGAGGTGGGGGTGGGGAAGGGGGATGAATATATAGAGTCTCCACACCAGCTCGCGCGCGCACAGCCCCCGCAGTCTCCGTGCCCAGCCGAGCCAGCCCCGCCATCCCTCCCACCAGCTGACACGCGGCTGAGAAGAGAGAAGCGGCCAGGCTCTCGCTGGGGCCTTTGACTCGCCCTAACTGGGCGTGCCCACTCCCTAATCTTCGCGGAGAATTTCCCAGGGGGAAAGAGGCAGATCCAAGAACCACTCTCCTCCCCCCCCCCCCCCCCCCAATCCCCGGTGCCCTCTGTCTGCCCCGCCACTACACAGGCACAAATGCAGGACTTCCTCCCCAGAAGCGCCCGGGCCAGGTAAATTCCTGGGTGATCTGGGAGACCCAAGAAACGTGAGTGTCTCCCCTGGAGAGTCAGATACTGGGGAGTGGGGAGCCAGGGGCAGGACTCCCCTCTTCCAGTGCGCGGACACACCTCTCCAAAGTTGAGCCCCTTTGCTCTGCGACCCATAGGGGCAGCACGGGCGAGGGCGCACTGGCCGTGTCCCTATCTAGTAGTGACCGCCATCGCCCCCCACTGGGCAGGAACGTTTCTGAATGCTTGCCCTGGATTCTACCCTCCCCGCCTCCAAGGCAGCGCCTGGCAGATGGCCCGGCGAAGCCAACTGCCAGGTGCATGGTTCCCGTCACATCCAGGAAGGGCGCCCTCCTCCGGCAAGCCGGCCTCTTGCATCTCGCACGGACCCTTCTCGTGCCCCCGCCCCCTCGTGGGCGTGAAGGGGAACCGGGAAGGAGGGACCCCACCCTCGTGCAAGCTCGGCTCCTCTGCGGAGGAGAGAGGGCTCCCTGGCGGCCCGGGACCCCCGCCCGCGCCCCGGGCTTGGAAAGTTTCCTGTCTGCGATCCCGGTCGGCGCTCCTCCTTCGCCCGGGGCAGCGGCGCTCAGAGGCCACGCCGGCTTCCCCGACCCAGACGCGCTCTCCCCGGCGCCCGAGCCCCCGCCTCCCGCAGCTGCAGAGGCGGCCGAGGGCAGCGGAGGCGCCAGGACGCCGGGTCAGCTCTCTGCGGTTCGGCAGCCCGGAGAAGGCTGCTCGCAGGGTCTGGGGAGAGCTCGCAGGGTGGGGTCTGGACGGAGCGGGGTTTCCCACCAACGTCTTTCCCATCAGTCGCCGTCCCCACCCCTGTGGTGTCTCTCTGTTCTGTGTATTCTGGGGAGAAAGGATGCTCCCCTCCCGTCCCCAGCGCACACCCCAGCTCCCTGCAGTGTCCAGGTGAGTGCTCCGGTGGTTTTCAACAAAGCCCAGCGCACTCTCGGTAGCGCCGGAACCCGGACCTGCCCCCCACCCCCACCCCATAACCTTTCCCTCTAGAGGCATCCAAGGGAGGGAGCACTCATCCCAAAGTTGGGGGGAGATTTTAATCCACTTTGAAAGACTCTTGCTCCAAGGGAAGGGGGACAAAGTACGGGGTTGGCATTCCCTCTGGGCTACTCCAATCCCTCCCCCCTCTCTGCCAGCAGGACCACCATTCAGGCTCCAATTCTGCAGCTTCGCCCATCCGCAGACCCAGCGCTCTCCAAGGACCTCCGGGTAGAAGGCGGTGGGGTTATTTTAGGCGGGGCACCCCTTCCCGGCAGGCACTCTCAGAACCTGGCTAGGGCCCTCCCAGTAGGACAAGGCATATGGCAGAGGACAGCACTGACCCCCCACCTATCCCGCCCCCATCACGCTGTTGGGGTATGGACTGACACTTTACTGGTCTCAGTGGCTACTTTTTGGCACCCCGCGTCTCTCTCTCCCTCCGCGGTTGAACCAGGCTGTGGCTCCCGCCGGGCTGGTCCTCGGCACCCAGGTTTGGCACTAGGCTTAGGGGGGAATCGATGACACGGACCCTCTAGTCTCCGCGCCCGCGGCTCTTCGCTGGTCCCGCCTCCCTGCCGCCAGGCTCATAGCCAACGCGTCGGCTCACTGCCCAAAAGGTGCCGGGGTCGCCAGGTTCGACTACTGGCATCACTTAAGACCCACCAGGCGGCGCCCGGCGGGAGGCACCGAAGGGGCTGCGAACCCCAGACTCTGGAGCTGCGCAGCCACCGGTCGCTCGCTCTGGAGACCCCGCTCAGCTTCAACCCCCTTCCAGCTGGCTCAGCCCAGCCTGGGACCAAGTCCACGCGGGACACACACACACCGCTGCTCACACCTCCTCAGCCCCCGGTCGCATTCATACCTCCCTCCACACTAGAACCACACACTCCATCGCATGCACACATACTCCCGACCCACGAAGCGACACAACCTCACGCGCCTGAATCTTCACACATCCTAGATACACACACTCCTGCCCAAGTGTCACATTCTCACCTCCTATGCACACACACTCCCCCCCGCCACAGAAATACAGCCATCAGCTGTCACACACCCCTAGAGAGACCCGCATACTTGGGACACGCGTGAAACGCCACACCTCACATGCTCCCCGCCCTTTAACACGCTCACACATGCAATGACACGAGCTCACACACTTCACGTCCTCACCTAGCAGCTGGCACCCGCTCACACCCCCAACCAGTCACTCTTTCTCACACACACACCTTCTCCGTGTAACTGACAGACACTCAAACACCCCTCCAGACACTCGCTCGCTCACACACCATCACACACACTCACATCTCTAAATACACTCCTGCACCCTCTCCACACAGCTCCTCCCCGGACACCCTCAGACATAGACGCAACAAAGACACACGCTCCTACACACACACACACGCACACACACACCCTGGCACAGACCCACGAGCGCTCTCTCCTCCGGAGACACGCTCCCTCCCTCGCCAAGCCGACCGGCTCCACAGGCCCCCAGGCCAGGAGCGGTGCTGGGACCCCGAGCCTCTCAAGAGCGACCCCGACCCGCGCCCTTCCCCGCGGCCCGCCCTCGCGCGCGTCCCCAGCTGGGGCTCCGGCCCGGCGCCCGCGCACTCACCGCGCGCCAGGTCCAGGATCGCGGCGAGCAGCAGGCAGACGCAGCCGCGGAGGCTCGGGGCGGCTCGCATGGTGCCCGGGAGCTGGCGGCGGTGGCGGGGCGGCGGCGGCGGTGGCAGAGGGAGCGCGGGCGGCGGGTCCCCTCGCCATGGGCTCAGGCGCGCTCCTGCCTCCGGCCGCCGGCCGCGACGGTGGTGGGCAGCGTGGGGCGCCGCGGGGGCGCCCCCATGCCGCCGCGGCCGGGGCGCCGGGCTTGACTCGGCTCGGGCTTTGCGGGGCGCCGCGACCCTCGCGCTCGGGGAGTCCTCCGGTCGCGCCGCGGCTCCCAGCTCCCCGACTCCCAGGCTGCGCGCGGCGCCCACCGCGGCCCGGAGTCGAAGAGGCTGCAGCGCCGGAGTTTGGAGCCGAATCGCGCTCTCTCTGCCTCGCGCTCGCCTCTCTCGGCGGCGCGAGCGCCCCCCTCCCCGCGCCCTCCCTTCCGTCCCTCCCCCTCTCCCCGCCCTCCCGTTGCCGCGCTCTCCGCTGTATTATACAGACTTTTCTTTAATCCTTTCTGGGCTGTTCGGACCTCGTCCGCTAAGCCGATTTATTGCAGAGAGAAGGAGAGCTCACCCCCTCCCGGGCCCCCTCCCCCTCCTCCCCGTCTCCCTCCCCTCTCCTCCCCCCAGGCTCCCCCCCTCACTCACAACTCGCTTGCTGCCCTCAGCTTCATAACCCTCCCCAGCTGACCCAGCACCTCTGCCCTCCGGAAGCCAAGCTCCATCTGATTCCCTCCACCTAATCCCATTCCTGAGACCAACCCCCTCCCACCCAGCGATGGAGGGAGGCACCTCCCGTGAGAAGCGATGCCTTCGTGGAGCAGAGCAGGCAGGGTGTGGCCCAAGAGTGCTGGCCTTGCCACCTATTACTGCCCTTAGAAGGATTAGGGGCATCAGTGTTGTGAAACTTCCCAAATTACGGCTGCCCGCCCCCAGGAGCCCACGGAGGTGCAATATGTTTTGTCCTTTCTTCCAAGAATAGCCACGTTCTTGGATCCAGTGAGGAATGGGTGAGGAACTGGTTGTTTCCGCCTGGCATGTTTTCACCTTTTTGGCGGGCCTGACACCTTTCCTCCCCAAGCCTGAGGAATGGGGTTTGGGACTTTTGTCTAGGTGTTATCTTCTCACCAACACACACACACACACACACACCCCATTGAGCCTCAGGCCAGGCTGGAGCTCAGGTCTCCTAGGAGCAGAGAAGTACTGTCGTCCTTGGAGTGGGCTGGGGGTGAGGTTAGATGGGGGAGTTCAGAGCATGGGATCTCACCCCTGGCAGGGACCCAGGAGATTGGCAAGCTGCGGCCCAGAAAGACCAGCACAGCCAGGGACAGAACTGGGCTCAGAACCCAGCTCTCTCGCTCTTGACCTGGTGTTCTTTCTATGGCATTCCATGGAGAATTCCCAGCTGCCCTAGTTCTGCCAGGTGGCTGCATCAGGCCGTTGCTCTGTTTACCTAGACTGGCAATGGGTCTGTACCCAGTTCCATCTCCAGCAGCCCATGGAGGGGGTGGGGGAGGGTGGGCAGTGGGTGGGTGCTAAGCTGTCTCTTGGCCGGTCTTGTGTAGAGATGCTCTGTGGCAGGGAGCCGCTCCCTCCGTCTGCCCTCCCTAAGCCTCACCACACCCTGTCCCAAAGCAGATCCACTGCAGCTCCTGGCCGCCCACCCTGGGGAAGGAGTGATTTGCATTTATGAAGGTCTGAAAGCTTATGTTCACCTGACAGGCTTTAGAATGATCCTCTCAGTAAAATAATAATAATGATCGTAATAAACCCTTATAAATAGGTGTTTGATTACAGTTTGTCCCTATGTGGGAATTTTTTTTTTTTGAATCAGACTAATTGGCTGCCAGGCTGATTGGGCTGGCTATGGCTTGAACACTGGAGGCTTAGGCCCTTTCCTCTCCCTTTGGCTGCCTGTTCTTTGCTCCCTCTCACCCCCACCCACCTGAGTCTCCCCTTCTCCAAGATGCTGAGGGCTATCTTGAGGTCACGTCTCCCTACACCCTCTCTTTGGGCCGACCCAGCCACACCGTGGGGCACAGTCTGGGCCTGCCTCCTCTCTGCCCTTTCCCCTCCCCACCTCTGGCCCAGGAAAAAGCCAGCAGAACCCGAATCCATCCCAGGTGCCAAGCCCTCTGTGGATGGGCCTTCCTGGCTGGGAAGCAGCATCAAGCTGGGAGGACCCTCCTGGTGGTCTGAGTTCTGCTGGCATGTGCCAGGCAGCACCGTGTGGGCATTCCTACTCCGCAGTCCCAGGCAGGTGGACGGGCCGCAGTTCACCAGGTGAAACCGTGCATGGGGGAGGCTTGCCGCCTGCATTCACTGCAGCCCAGCCATTAGAGAGGAAAGCCAGGCATGAGGTGGGACTCCAGGGGCCCCTAGAGTGATGCTTTCTCCCAACCCAGGTCCATATCAGCTGGGAAAGAGACCCTCCAGGGAGCACCAGGGAGCGGCTAGACAGTCACCTCCATCGTGCCAGCTGTGAATGACACCTGGGAGAGACTAGCAAGGAAGAAAGGAGGCTGCTAGGCAAGAGAGGGCTGCCTCCAAGGGCCAAGGATTGTGCCGGGGGGGTGGAGACCTCAGTTAAGACTCCTTCAGCCCCAGGACTCCCCATCACCCACATTCTCTCTTAACATCACCCTGTATTATAATTATTGGTCTTCCTAGCCAGTGCCTGGCACACAGTAGGCTCACAGTAGGCCCTGGCACATTGTAGACCCTCAATATTTGTTGGATGGATGCATGAATGGATGCATGAATGAATGAATGAGGGCAGGGCGCTTTGTCATATCCACCCCATTCCTCAGCTCCTAGCACGAGGGCGGCAGGTGCCAACAGGCATCTGTAGCAGTGAACCTTTTCAGAGAAGCGGCAGCCCCCTGGGTCGCGTATTCCAAGAGAGGACATCCTGCCCAGGTACACAGTAGGGCGGTTTCCTCAAAGGGACTCGGCTGCGACATGCGTGTTTATTACCATATGGCAATTGTTCATAGGAACACTGATACCTCTGCACACCGTCGCCTGGGGAGCCCAGTCCTCCAGCTCTTGTTTCATAAGACACAGCTCCTGAGCCTTTTCTTTTGCCCCAGAGAAAGACACATCTGAAGCACGGAGAGGCGTGGTTAGCAGATGGCACAGGGTGACTTTGCCAAAGGGAAAGTCACCCAGGGCAGCCACAGTCTTTTCATTTGCTTAACATCCCTCGACTCCTGTCTCCTAATGGGTTGGCTGCCAGGGCAGGGCCTCTGCTCTGCATTCCTGGCGCTCAGACCCCTGAGTCATAGTGGGACATGCCTCCTCCTTGAGCACTAGCGGAGGGGGCAGGCGGCCCCCAGCCTCCCTCTGTCCATGGTGGTGAGCCAGGCTCTTCCCAACAGAGGGCACTACAGCACAAAGCAAATTTCTCTTCCCTTGACCCTAGGGAACACCCCCAGAGGTCAAAGGGGCTTCTGTGACCTCTAGTTGGTTTATTTCCGGGAGAGGGGAGGAATATGGCATGTTGTTACCTCCCACAGCCTGGCTTCCAAAGCGGTGGGCTCTGCTGGTTGGGGAAGGATCCTCTGTGGAGTTCGATAATATTACTAAGAGCAGTAAGCATCTGTGACGGTGCTTCTCTCATACCAGGCACCATTAAAGCAGTCAATGTGCGTAAACTATTGAGTCTGCACAATAACATATGAGGTGGGTACTATCGTTATTCCTATCTTACAGATGGGAAAACTGAGGCACAGAGAGGCTAAGCAACTTGCCTGGTACAACACAGTTGGTAGTAGAGCCAGATTTGAACTGAGGAAGAGTCCAGAGCCAGAGCTCTTAAAGGTCCTTTTGGGCCAAGATACACACATGACACGCGAGGGCATGTGTGTGTGTGTGCACGCACATGCACGCGTGCACACACACACACACACTCATGCAGTCCTCTGGCTCCTTCCAGCCTTTCCCTCTGCCTCTCCGTGCTGGGAATTAAACATCCACCAGGCTGCATCCTAGACAGGACAGAGTTTTTTAGTGTTTGTTTAAATTAAACACAACTGAATGTGATGCCTTAACACCGGTGACCCAAATCGATATGGAGTCGGCCGCTGGGAATTAAGTCCAAGGCTGCGTCCTTAACGGACCTCAGCCCCACCTGGGCTCTCAAGCTCCATTCTCCAGCACGTCTTCCCCAAGCAGGACCTCAGTGAGTCTCCTGCGGGGCATCTGAGACTGGGGGTTGCTGAATAGGCCTCGGCATTGCAGGGCCAGAAAAAGGAGCCAGACCATGTGCGGGAGTTAGGGACAAGAAGTTAAGCCCTGGGGACGAGCTAGGGAAGAGAGAAGTAGGCTGACACTGGAAACCAACATTCCCCAAACTGGGTCCCACCAACCATTTGTTTTGCAAGTTTGTAAGAAACATTCCTTAAAAGAGGGTTCCACAGTTAAATATACTTGAGAAATGTTGTCTATTAGCCATTCTCCATTTCTTGGAGATTAAAAATTCACATGAGCATATTAAAGACTGTGAGGAATCCTGCTGAGTTTTTCCATTTTATTTACTTGAGACCCAAATTTGTTTGACCTCAGAACCCTCTTTGCAGAAATACCTGTTTCTCATGAATCTCATGAGCGAGAATTCTATAGATCACAGGACGGATGGGAGATGCCGCCCCGGCCCTGGACCAGTCTCCTGACCTCTTCCTGGATTGCCATAGTAGTAGTAGCAGCAGTAACAGTAATAGTAAGAACAACAATACCTACATCCACTGCCAATGATGGCCTTTCCTGAGTGCTGACTGTGTGCCAGGCGCTGCTCTAAGTGCTGACTGTGCGCCAGGCGCTGCTCTAAGTGCTTTGCTTGTATCAATTCACCAAATCCTCTCTGTCACCCTATGAGGCAGATGCTGTTTTTAACCCTGCAGAGTAGACAAAGATACTGAGGCACAGAGAGGTGAAGCCTCTTGTCTAAGGTCACATTGCTTTCATGTATTTCTGAGACCGTAAGCAACAGGAGGATAAGAGCCATAGCTGATTCACCTCTGAATTACTTGTGCCCAGCAAGTGGTAGGTGCTCAAGAAAGTGTTGGATGTATGGATGGAAGGAAGAATGGATGAATGGAAAGATGGATGGGCCAGAGAATGATTGGATGGATGAGTGAATGTATAGGTGGGTGTGAGAATTATTGGGTGGATAGATGGATGGATGGATGGGTGGATGGATGGATGGATGGATAGATGGGTAGATGGGAGGATGGATGGATGAATGGGTAGATGGGTGGATGGTGGGTGGAAGAACAGATGGAAAGAAGGGTGGGTGGGTGGGTGGGTGGATGGATGGGTGATGGTGGGTGGGTGTGTAGACAGATGGATTAGATAGAGGATTAATGGGTAGATGAGCATGTGGATGGAGGAGTGGATAGATAAAT